TGTAAACGTTAATACTGTTAATACTACCTATAACAATAGTCGTGAATACTGTTTACACTATTTATAACAATAGTCGTGAATACTGTTTACACTACCTATAACAATAGTCGTGAATACTGTTTACACTATTTATAACAATAGTCGTGAATACTGTTTACACTATTTATAACAATAGTCGTGAATACTGTTTACACTACCTATAACAATAGTCGTGAATACTGTTTACACTATTTATAACTGTTAACATGAATATAGTTTACACTATTTATAACTGTTAACGTGAATATAGTTTACACTATTTATAACTGTTAACGTGAATATAGTTTACACTATTTATAACTATTAACGTGAATATAGTTTACACTATTTATAACTGTTAACGTAAATATAGTTTAAACAATTAATAACTGTTAACGTGAATATAGTTTACACTATTTATAACTGTTAACGTGAATATAGTTTACACTATAACTGTTAACGTGAATATAGTTTACACTATTTATAACTATTAACGTGAATATAGTTTACACTATTTATAACTATTAACGTGAATATAGTTTACACTATTTATAACAGTTAACGTGAATATAGTTTACACTATTTATAACTGTAAACGTGAATATAGTTTACACTATTTATAACTGTAAACGTGAATATAGTTTACACTATTTATAACTGTTAACGTGAATATAGTTTACACTATTTATAACTATTAACGTGAATATAGTTTACACTATTTATAACGTGGATACTATTTATGGCATTATGAATAATATTATATAATTAATATAATTATGATGGCTTTCTTAACTCCAAATGTTCTATACACTCTTCGGATATAAAGGTGTTTTTTTTTGTTATTTCCACTCTTATTCCTGTGATTCTGGAATATCGTTTCTGGTTAACTCAGTCGTACACTTAGGGTTAACAAAACAACCTATTCAGAGTCGTAAATGTTTGTACAATATAGATTATATTTAACGTCATAAGTGATGTCCGGTCTAACAACAGGTATAAATAAAACCTCATGAACACAATCTTGTCAGAAGGCATCGACTTTTAATAACATTAAAAGTTATATTTTAACCCATTGCTTTACTATAGCATGGCCAGGTGGTTAGGGCGCTCGACTCGTAATCTGAGGGTCGTGGGTTCGAATCCCCGTCACACCAATCATGCCAAACTCCGCCTTTGCCTGGTCCCAAGTCCAGGATTAGAAAGGAGAAGGGTTGGGCGCGGCGCTAGCAACCCCACCCCGTAAAAACCAACCTGCTACAAGTAACTGCAACAACACCTTCCGTTGGCGAGGTATTGTTGCGGCCCTATGCTTCACTGGGAGTTTACAGGAATAAAAAATAAATCATTATGTAAGCTTACTATCGTATAATCGTACATAATATTTTATATTATGTATTACGAGTTGTTAACCAGACTAATTTTAAGTTCAGATCTGATTGTATGAACGAATTTCTCTAGGCAAAGAGCGTTAGTTGCTGCTTTGTAGAACGGTACTGAAATATGGCACGAGCTTCTGACGTCACACATTTCTATAGTGTTTAACCCAATCTTAGATATAAAATTGTTTCTTTCTTCAGGTCAAGTTGGCAATGTTATCACAAACAGAAACGCTAATCGATTGGAATTTGAACGTCTGTTGGTAAGTGTTAAGAATTGAAACTAATGAATATTTCAATTGTATGTATTCAATTTCTAAGGTAGACTTTGTCTATTTCTGAGCTGGAAAATCCAGCGGTTCTATATTGTTGTATAAAAACATCCAACAGTTCCATGTTTAATATCCAGCAGTTTTATATAGATTGGTTCTGTTGTTTAAATACTAATATCCAGCAGTTTTATATAGAGGTATTGTTGCATAAGAATATCTACTGGTTCTGTTGTTTATGTATTGTTGTATATGAATATCTACTGGTTCTGTTGTTTATGTATTGTTGTATAAGAATATCTACTGGTTCTGTTGTTTAGGTACTAATATCCAGCAGTTTTATATAGATGTATTGTTGCATAAGAATATCTACTGGTTCTGTTGTTTAGGTACTAATATCCAGCAGTTTTATATAGATGTATTGTTGCATAAGAATATCTACTGTTTCTGTTGTTTAGGTACTAATATCCAGCAGTTTTATATAGATGTATTGTTGCATAAGAATATCTACTGTTTCTG